AACGAAAACATAACATTGTCTAAATGAACATCTATTGAAATCAATTTCCTCTGTGTCTAATTTATTCTCTGTCTCTAATTTATTGTAAAAATGAATAATTCTGATTAATAAATTAATGGAAATGAATATTGGCATTCTTATTTCATGTTCCTTGACCAAATGACTAATCCCTATTTTCGAAATGCAATTCTTCAGCGAAATACTAAAGTCTAGATTAGAATTTCTGTATCTCTAATTGTATATCGATCTATCAGTAATTTAATGTATGTCGCCTAAATTCTGATTAATAAATGAATGGTAATAAAATTCTGCATTTTTATTTCACTATCCTTGACCAATCATGATCTAAAGCATCGATCACGCATTATGCATTTTCGAGTCTAATTTATTGTAGAAATGCATAATTATGATTAATAAATTAATTAATAGATATGCATCTTAAAATTTTATTTCGCGAGCCTTGAATAAATATAATCCAAAGCAGCGATCATGGTATTTATATTCTGAACTTGGACCGTCGAGCTATAGATTGCAGTTTATCGATCATTCAAGCAGCCGCCTGAATTTGGTTCGATGTAGTCGATAATATCAGAGATTTAGCCGACTAAAAATATCGTTGGCTACTATCGACTAAATCGATAGTTTTTAGTCGATAGTGCCCATCACTAGACTGAGCTCAGAATTGAGCCAGTTGAGCAGTTGAGCTCTCTCTCTGGCTCTCTCACTTGCGCTCGCTGTCTGATAAAAGATGCAGAGCGCACGCGCACCGTTGACAGTTTACACTTTGCACCGCTGTAATTTGTTTAATTACTGACCAGACCAAGAAGTCAATCCTAAAAACTAACATTTCTCTTACTTGCTTTAATAATGAGAATATCCTATTTGGAAAGTTACGGAGTACTCCGAATTTCTGATTTATTATTCGAATAGTATTATCGCGGAGGTTATTCTACATGTCTAAATAAATAAATGCACAATACGATTACTTTAGGATTTATACATTTGATTGATCGTGGAATTATTTAGAATATTCACAATGTGTGACACATTGCATCCTAGTGTAAGTGTAATTATGTTTAAATAATTGTCAATTTATAGATAATTTATTTTACTTAAATTTAATATTATTAGTATTATCATATCGAGAAACTGGGCTGTGTAGATCCTATAAAAATAGCTACAGCATTTCATGTTTACATTGAACTGTGTGAAGGTAATTATTCGATTGGCAAATAAGTTCGTTCGATTTTTGCTTGAGCGTCGACAATTAATTCTGAAGATCGTTATCGATAGAAATTAATCTATTCCAATCGGTGCGAAAGATTACTATATCCTATATGAGTGTAGAAAATTATCGAAGAAATTGTTTAATTTTGTCTCAAAAAACCGAACAAGCTTATTTGCCAACCCAATAGAATGCAATTTAAAAAATATATTCATTGCCTAGTTATTATTTACGATTAGTAAGAAGATATTGGGATATCAATTACAAATACAATGAACAGCTGGATTTATTATATTTAGAAGGGAAAAGATCTAAAAATTCCCAAGTGGAATTATTTATACCTTGGCTAGCATCATCTAACGTTTCTCTTGATAAAATTGAGAAAATACAAGATGGCTTGAATGTTGAGCAGTAAGAACTGAAATTATCTGTAAAACTTGATAAATAATATAACTATTATCATCTTTCTTAATCTATATATTTTGTTTCAGAGTAACATTTGTTTTTAAAGCTGCAGATAGCACAAGTGTCATGTATAGAGCTAGCAAGGGACTTGTGAAACCCACGGCTCCAGAATTAACTAAATTAATAAAAGAGAAAGAAGAGAAGAAGCTGAATTTAGAAAAAGAAATCAGGAAAAATACTTCACATTTGTATGAATTAGCAAAATCATTGACTACAGAAAATGTTGATAAAGATGCAGGAACTGCTGTATGTGTTGAAGATGAAACAAATAAATAAAATCTTTTTCATATATTCTGGATTCTTTTAGGAATAAGTAAATACAAATTAGAAAATTTAATACTTTCTTTAAATGTTTATTATCCAAATTTATCATGTTTCTGAAATATCGTGAAGTTCACTAAACCCTATATAGCTAATAAGAGTGATATGTATTAAGCTGCCATTGCAAATGTAAATATTAAATAACTTATTGCTCAATAATAATAATTCACAAGCATTTTCTATCTTTATACTATTAAATGATTTAGTTAAACACTGCAAGTATGAGGCACATGCTGTTTCATTACTGTTAGCTACAGATAAATATAACGAATACTCTAAACTAATGTTAGAATTGTATAATAGCACTATGTTACTTTTTTATGTATAAAAATAGATCTATCTACAAAAAAATTGACGACACTTGTATATTATATACATCTTTCAATTGCTATTTCTCAAATGACATACCATTGTAGTATACACATAGAATCGTCGCCCTCGTAAAAACTACTTATAACTATGGCCTTAAATTAATAATCTGCTTAATCGTGTGTCCATAATATATATATATCATTTATGTATATGTGTACATAGATTTTAAATGTTAATTAATAGAGTATAAATACAGTGACAAGAAAATATTAATTAATACAGAGGATGATTCATTTTTTATAGAAGTGAGTAGTTTGGCAGTTCACACGTAGAAATAGTATAGCCATTTATAAACTGTAGAAATAAACATTTTCTTAATTGATTAGCAGCACTTCAGAGTATATTTGTTTCATTGCTTCTTTTCAGACCTCATTTATCGCACTGGAGTCATTAACAGGTGGCGAAGATAAACATTTTCCGATGATCCCATATTTTCTTGTCTATCATACAGTGAAAGGATATACGTATGCTCTTTTGTTTAACTAAAAACTCGTAATATAATTACTCAATGATACATAGGTTGTCAAATCTATGTACGAGAATTGTATAAAAACAGGCACGTTAGGAGTAATGCGTTGCACGAGCACCTTCGTATAAATGAGTTTTCGTTTTAATATACAAGGTCTTTGTATAAAATAGTTACCGAATGGTTATTAATTTATTAGTGCATTAAGGCAACTAGAGTACGAGATACACTCGGAACTATCACAAATGATACAATTAATTTTCCGTATTACAATTTGAAATACTGCATTCTTTTTAGGACAACTTGTAAGGACCGAAAGCTTACACGATAGTGCTTATAATATAAGACAGATTCAAATTATACCACTTTATGACTATCACAGTGATTAATACATTTTTCATTATTTCCTTGGGCGTATTTCAGACGGATTTTTTTTGTTCAGGAATCGCTAATTTAGATATATGCAAGCAGCAGCGAATATCAA